GAGAAGCAGATTCGAGATTCAGCTCAAAGATTCGAAATTTAGACGAGTTGGTGCAATCGAAAAAAAATAACATTCAGAATCTCTTATATTAAGGGTGGAATTATTATCCGGGATCCGAGATCCGATCCATTATCCGTTCGGAATCGCTCCGAAAATTAGGATATCCGGAAAGTCTGGATCCGGATAAAGATAGTAAAATCTATGATCTGTGAAAAGAGAATCCAGATTCGGATAGCAAAATTTTAAGGTCCGGATATCCGGATCCGGAATCGGACGCATTAAATATATTAAAAACATATATATTATATATCTATTAAGCTAATTTTATATAAATAAATATATAAAAAATGGATTTTAGTTTTTTTTTATAATAAATTATATTTATAATGAAAAATACCATTAAATTATTAATTAATAATTTTAAAACTATATATTTTTATTTATTTATTTATTATTTTAATTATTTTTTAATATTAATTTCGGATTCGGATCCGGATTTTTGGCCGGATATCTAGAATCCAGATATCCGAAGGTCACGCATCCGGTGAATAGTTTTTCCACGGATCCGATAATTTCGGATCCGGATCCGGATACCTTCAAATTCCAGGATATCCGGAATCGTTCCACCCCTATCTTTTATATTAGTTATGAAGTGATTTTGTGGAGTTTGCTTATGTGTCTCCACCAAATTCATTCTCACAATTAAATGTTACATGAAATTCTCAAAAATATGACATAGCATTCTAACTCATAACTCTCTTAGTACATTTAGGCCAAACTTAATAAATTAGCCCAAGTTTAATCACCGAAATGAATTGGCCGAAATTTTTATTAACACAAATTACTTANCACAATTAAATCTAACCTAATAATGTTCGACTATATATCGATAAGGGATGACGACAACCAAAAAATTCATACCTTATATATTAATTAGAGAGTGATTTTTTGAAAAAAACTTATGTATCTTCACCAAAATCATTCTCCCAATTTTAGTGTTACATGTCATTATAAAAAAACTATTTTTCTACTAAAAAGTATCATTTAATATATTTAATAAATGTAATTTGACCAGTCACAGAAAAGACTGCAAAATACTAGTGGTCACACAATATTCAATAAAGTTAAAAAGTAACTAAGATTGTCAAAACCAACTTACATTTTGAAACGGAGGGAGTATATCATTTAGGGCATCTCCAACCCTACTATATTTTTACTCCAAAATGGAATTTGCAGTAAAATTTGCTCCAACCCCACTCCATATCTATCTCCAAAATAGAGTAAAAGGTAGTTTACTCCAAATATGGAGTAACTCCATTTATCACTCCATTTTTACTCCACTGTTTACTGCAAAATATAGTAGGGTTGGAGTAAAACACAACTCCATTTTAGATTTACTCTATTTTGGAGTAAAAAATAGAGTTTTTGGTTGGAGATGGTCTTACTCATAATATCATTTATGTTTGAGTTAACTATGTTATATAGGGTTTAATTTTCAAGATTTAGGGTTTGTTAGGGTCAAAACATTTTTTAAAATTTAGAATTTTAGGATTTAAGGTGTAAAAAATTCTTAATTTGT